GCCATTTTCAAATGGTCTAAACGAAAGACTGAACCAAACACTTATAAATAAAATTAGATGCAAAATAAATGAGAAACCAAATACAACAGCATGGACAACTATTGCCCATAAGTGCGTGGATAGATATAATGACACTGAACATACAACTACTGGCTTCGCACCAAGATATCTGATGGATGGTACAGATGTGTCATTTATACCAAATGAACTAAAACTTAAAAAAGAAGCAGATGAATGGATTAAAAATAGGAAGATAGCATTTGAAAAATCCATTAAGTCACATGAATATAACAAAATGATAGTTGATAAAAATAGAACACATCATACTTTTAATACAGGTGATATGGTATACATTGAAAATGGACACAAACTAAATAGGAAAAAATTAGACGAGCTGAGGATTGGTCCTTTTAAAATTGAAGAAAAAATATCACATTCAATATACAAAATTAATACAGGTCATAAGAAATTGGAGTCGAATCTCTTCCACATTACGAAACTCATTCCTGTTCCGACATAAGAAGAAATTCGATATGTAACTCCTAATATGAAATTATAATTTAGCGAAAATTTCGGAGGAAATTTTCTGGCCTAGGGGGGGAGATGTAAAGAAATAAGATCTCTTTAATATGTTACTATTCTAAATTCTTTATAATAAATTTGAATTGAGGCGCTGTCAGACAGATGAGTGTCATAGTGTAAACATTTTTAAATGTGAAATTGTAAAAAATTAATAATTTTATTTGTAAAAAGGATTCGACAAAACCTGGCAATAACTTTTAATGTCGTTTCTTTGTATTTCAGGTAAGATAGTAATTTATGTTTCAAGACTTATTTATAGTGTATAATAGGTTGTTTCTTGTTGTAAACTTACGCTTACAATAAACTTTGTATTTCAGAGCAACACATAAGTTTAATTTTTGCCGGTTCTTAAAAATCCCGACTTATAGTCTTATATATATATAATCTTAATATTTTCAGTGTTTAAGACACTTTTCTTCCATGTCTTGTGTGTTTGTTCCGTGATGTTAGAGTCGATATGTAGAATTTGTAAGATTTCATTGTTTTCTTCAACTCTAAGATGCAATGTTTGTTCGAGAGTTTTTCCCTATCGATTAATTCGGTAAAATAGTGATGGTGGCCTTTTTTGCATTTTATTTGGTTCGATTCCCGGTTCAAGTAAGCTTGTTTTGAAATTGAATGCAGTTATTATTATTTTTAAAAATAATGAAATGTTTTCTTTGAGTAAATCTTGATAACTTCAATATTTAAGGTACTTTTCTTCCATGCCCCATCGATTTGTTCCACCCTGTATAAACATATACAATACACATACACATATACATACATACATTAGAAAGCTGTAATTTTTAAATTGCGAAAATATCATTCTAAGGATTGTTAGTAGCAGTATATTTTTTTTGGCATTTATGAATGTGTACATAAATATAACCTAAAATTTGTATACTAATATTCGAGTACACGTTGTTTATAATGAATTGATTAAAAGGTATAATTAATTTTGAAGCAAAGCTCGTACATTTTCTTTTGCGATGTATCATACATCGTTCATATGAATAAGAAAATTTGTTAACGTATACATTTCATTGCTCGTGACTGAACAGAGACATAAAGTAGTGTACGTCTCTCTTCAGCTAATGACCTACCTCTAAACTAGGGACACGTTTTTTCGTTGTTTTGAAAGAAGGACAAACATACAATTCAATTAAAACACTGCAAATAACACCAAATATATTTTTATTTTTAAGGTTTTGTTTCAAATAACTCTCCCAAAATAGTCTCGATAATTAAATACACCATCCATTTCTATCAACTAAATTTAAAAAATATTGTCACGTGTCTACACAATTGTACAAGTCCTTAGTTATTTACTTTGGTGAGCTAGAAAATATAATATTTAAACGAATTATTAAAAAAATATCCAAGTAAGTAGTCATCCTTTGTAGTTTCCTTTTTCTTATATTTAATTGGGAGCATGGGATGATGGATGGTATCGCACAAAATCTGTGTTTTTTGGAATTTTTGATGTATACGAGTACATGTCTTATCCTGTTAGAAAAATAATTTTTCGCATTAATATATTCATTCTACGGAAGAATAATAGCGAGAATTCATTTTAAGCGATAGAAAATAACTTGAATATGTTATGTTACGACAATAACATACAGCACCATCCAGTTCCACGGTAACTAGTTAAGAGGCTTGTGCTATGGATACCAGATCGTTGATACACTACACATATATGACTTTAAATACATACATAATTATGATTATAAACACCCATGAACAAATGATTGCCCCCAGTGGGACGTGATCGCGCCACCGCTGGCACGGCAAGTAGGGTCACTACAAACTGAGCCAAACGTGTCGTTAAATAATTGTATTTCAAAACATAGTTAGACACAAACATTAAGAATATGCTGTGTGTATCAAAAAATATATATTATTAGTTGATTGGCTAGTTACTACTGGTTGGTCTCTGATAGCAGAGTGGACTGTAAGATACCGTGAGCAATAACCTAATTGTTAAGTCGATTTTGCCATGCCCCGTTAAGACTAAGTTTTGAATGGATAGTAGGCTTTGAAGCCGGTGAGCCATCACTTGCTGTGCAGGTGGTATGTGGAAATCTATTTTAAGGTTACGAAAGGGTATTTAAGCTATATTCATTCCGTATGACGACACATTTGGCTCAGTTTGTAGTTGCTGTGCTACTTGCTGTGCCAGCGGTTGTTGGCATTTAAAGTTATATATGTGTAGTGTATCAACTATCTGGTATCCTTAACACAAGCCTCGTAGTTTACCGTGGAACTAGATGGTGATGGTAATGTCCCGACATATTATTATTATTATAATGTCGTCCAAAACTGTTAAGCTGATACAGCGTAAATGAGTAAATAGCTCTCACCCCTTCGCAAATTGTCCCATTTATAATACGTAACTAAATAGTGTGAGTTAGGTTTTACTATTGTACTATATAATGCGTTCCACATTCTTAATAAAACAATTCAAAACTAGTATTTTATATAAGTTCAATATTAATTAAATTTTAAATCTTTTTAATATATAATTTAATAATATATAATCAAATGTGAAATCTGATTTTGTAGAAAAATAATTGGTTTTGACACCAGACATAATTATATTAGTTATTCTTTAGCTAGATTTTTTTTCATATTATATACATTTTATGTCATTTTACATAGATATTATTATTTATATTTTAATTCATTATTTTATATTATTTTTATATAACTATTTTACATCTTGACACAAACAAATAAAACGCATCACACTAAATTGACGACTGCGACTTCGATTTTTATAATGTTAAGATATTTTTAGTACGTATAAAGAAGCATTTATAATAATTAACATATTAAATATAACATAATACAAATATAAACATAAACACAAGAATTAAACAGACTTAAAAAAATGTAAATATTAAATTCAGTAGACAAATTTAATTATTATAAACTATTTCTTGCGACATATCGAATCTTGAATACCTTCCCATGTTTCAAACGCGGCTTGATAAATAAAGTCTGGATCTACTAAAAATCCATTCAGACTATTATTTATATTTCTATATGCTGGTAGCTCGAATGTAAGAAAAGTGTATGAAAGGCATACCCATCATAATTTGGGCATAATCACTGGAACCGCCAGACCCGGAATAGCACAAGACATGAACAATATTACCAACTCTGTAGTTTGGTTTATTGGGCCATTTAACTGAGTCAAATCGTTGGACCATCTGCACTCCTACTACCTATTTAAGATTAAAGCATTCGGTGGAAGAGATCCATTACCAAATCCAAAGAGAATCATACTTACAAAACTAAGGATATCAGTTAACAAAGATATGCGGGATCCAAATAGATTAAAAATAGTTCTAGTTATATTGGTTTCAGGTTCTGAAAATGGCCCGTTTCCATGAAAAGTTTCACTGCACGGGTTATTGCTAGATCCTGTTCCCCAGTTGAAATTGTGGTTTCTGTTCAGATCTACACCAACGCAGAAACCAAAGCTGGTGGCAAGATTTTTCCTCCACATCCGCGTCTATAATTTTTTGTTTTAAGCATAGGTATAGTTTATTTTGAAATGACTTATAAAATTGATGGATTTATCCAAGTATTTATTTACCAGTAGGATTGATCATCGTTAGAATAAATGAATAATTATTGTAATTAAACAATTATATTAATAATCTAAAAATTATTTCAAAACCTCTAATATCTTTCAAAAAGAAGAGACTCAAATTATTTCAAAACCTCTAATATCTTTCAAAAAGAAGAGTTTAAATTTTCAGTACTCACATTAGTATGAGAGAACTCATAACCATCGTTGGGGTTAGCGATGGGCATGATAATCCAGTCGATGTTACGCAAGAGATCCTGCTCTGCCACATCTGTCACTTCTGTTAGAACTTCGCCAGCCTTCTGAATTCAACGAAAGAACGACGAACGATGAAGTTCAATGAAAAAATAAATACACGTGCTATCTCACTACCAAGATCAAGACCCCCCCTGTGTTGTTTCGTATTTTTTTGAACCCCCCCGTCCCCCTTTTCGAGCCTCACGTGATTAATGGACGATCGATATTCTAAATATTAATCGCCTGGAGAGTGTAGAGCCTAGAGTTAACAAACCAGGCGTATATTTCATTTTTGACATTTCTAGGTTTTTAGAAATGTTAATTAAGTGCAAAGTATCGAGATAGAAATTGTAATTAATTAGATTCATTTTATAATTAATAATTTAAGATTTTTTTTAATTAACTATGTACAAACGTATTTATTTTACAATGTAAAGATCTTACTTGAAACCTTTAAAAACAAATTTATCGTAGCTAATCTCAAAAATCCAAATATCTGGCTCAAGATCATAAATTTTGCACTAGACTGGAATAATCATGACGATAATGTGATATTAGTATATCGATATAGAATTGAAGTATTTCGAAGGTAGCATTCACAATGAAAATACATTTTTTCATACTTCTAATCCCTTTAGTTTGGGCTAAAAATGAGGAAGTGGCAGGGTAAGTATATATGTAATTGTTTATTATATATTTTAAAGTATGTATAATGTATATATATTGTTATATATTAACATTTTAAATTTGTATTTTTATATTTTGAATTTTAACATATTGGGATGATAATAACATATTACTTTTGAATATATTTACTATTTAAAAAAAAAGTATATTTACTTGTATGCTGAGCTAAAAGGATTACAAGGTTTTGGAACAACAAACCGTTACGAGCGAACGAGCCAATCTGTCATTCAGTTATTATTATTTTACTTATACAGATAAGATAATAATTAAATCTGTTATAATAAACTTGAAATTATTTTTTTAGGTGGAAATCTTACTTCGTTAGACCTACAAGTTATGATCAACTTAAAAATTTAAATCACATAGTTGAGAAACTGAATTTAGACTTTTATCAGCATGCTGCTGTAAATCGTGAGGGTCTAGTGTTTGTGCAACCAGAAGATAAGCATTTTACAAATGAATTGAAAAACGCAGGAATATCTTATAGAATTCATGCCGAAGATTTAAAAGCGTAAGTAACAACAAAATAATACTTTTAATTTAAATTTAATTTTAAAATAACAATGGGTTTTTAAAAGACCCATTGTAAATTTTTTTTTGTTTTTTTTTACATATTATAATTCATACATCAATTTGCAATCTTTGATTTTTTTTTTAATTTTTCAGACACTTTGACTTTGAAGATAAGACTTTCAGATCCATAAATGTAGAAAGTAATAGGTTTGGTGGTAATTTATCATATGATCAATATCAAACTGTAGAAACGGTAAATACTTTTAAATTTATAAAATTGATAATTTAGAAGTAATGACATTATTTCAGGATGATACTCGTAAACAATCCTTTCGCAAAAAATATTGCTTTATACATTTAAAATCATTAAAACAGGGCTCCAAAAAGGTTTTATATTTTGGATTAAAAAGTTTATCAAAAAATTTGAATGTTGATTAAATGTTAAACAAAATAATTCATGAATTTCAGATTTATAAGTATTTAGAAGATATTGCAGAAGAATATCCAGATATAGCAAAAGTTGTAACTCCTAGAAATTCATATAATGGCTTACCCATAAAATACATGAAAATATCAACGACTAATTTTGAAGATCATAGCAAGCCTATCATATTTATTGATGGAGGTATTCATGGGAGAGAGTGGTTGACCATTCCACCTGTAACGTATGCTGTGCACAAGCTAGTTGAAAATGTGACGCAAAATGATCTTTTGGATAGATTTGACTGGATTTTACTGCCTGTTGTAAATCCAGATGGTTATATGTTTTCTCGAGTTGTTGTAAGTATTTTAGAATTCATTTATGTCATCTTTTTAATTACTTTTATTTTATTATATTATATACAAAACTACTCAATAGGTTTTTGTATAAAAAATGATACGCTGCTGTCCTACTATCTCTTCAGAGACATTTGGCTTACTTTTCCAATTTAAAAAAATATATATATATTCTTATTTTTTTATAACATAATATTATTTCAGAATGCTCCTTGGAGAAAAACACGTTCGATAGACAGTCATCCTCTAAGTCCAGTATGCCCTGGAGTGGACATAGATCGCAATTTCGATTTTGTGTGGAATACTGTTGGAACAAGCGAAATGCCTTGTTCCTATGTGTATCCTGGAATGAAAGCATTCTCGGAAGTAGAAACTACAGTCGTCCGAGATATTTTGAAAGAAAACAATAGAATATTAATGTATATATCCTTTAGTAGTTTCGGCAGTCAAATCTTATACCCTTGGGGGCATAACGGCACATTATCAAATCAAGGCTTCGCTTTACACAGTGTCGGAATCAGTATAGCCGATACTATAAATAGGAACAAGTTGCCATATTTTTTAAATTATGTGGTGGGTAATGCTGCTTTAGTAAGAGGTGCTGAAATGTCCGGGACTTCGATAGATTATGCTCACTATGTAGGTGTACCATTAGCTTATTCTATTGAATTGCCTGGTCTTTTTGGTGGATACTTCATGTTTCCAATTTATATTAAGCAAGTCTGTTTCGAAACCTGGGAAGGAATTGTAAGTGGCGTTAGACGAGCTAGTGTGTTGTTTGGATAGAAAGAATATACCTACTATTATTTTTTATTCGGTTATATATTTTATAATAGAAAAAATAAATAAATAACATTTTTATATATTTTATAGTTTAAATAATATTTGCTGGCGGCGGTGGCAAATAAAAACCATTTATTTATACATTTTATATTCGTTGTGCTATATATTCGTTACAAATGCTGGATTTATCGTCTGAGTCTTTCAATTCTGAATGTTTAAATCCATACATATCCATAGTTTGATGTGTATAAAAGTGCGAAAAAAACGTTTTGTTGTAATTTTGAATATTATTAAATTGTTGCTATTGTTAAAGTAAATAAACAAACAAAACAAAAATTAAAAAAAATATATATATATTTGGCACGTTTGGCTCAGTTTGTAGTGACCTTACTTGTTGTGCCAGCGGTCGGAGGTTCGAATCCCGCAGGGATTGGCATCTATTTGTGTGACGAGCAGTGAGCATGAATGTTTGTACTCGAGCCATGGTTGTTTAAATTTATAATACATATGTATATGTATGTATTGAACGTTATATATGTGTAGTGTATCAACTATCTGGTATCCATAGCACAAGCCTCGTAGGTTACATTGGAACTAGATGGTGCTTATTATTATTATTAAATTTTAGTAAGGATTGATTTGATAATATGAGAGATAAAATTATACAACAACAATTCTACAACTGAATTTGCACACTTTAAGTAAAGCCAAATAGATTGAGGAAAAACGTTGTAATTGGAAAAATTGCAACTTTAGATTAACTTTTTCAAACATGATAAAAGCTCGAGTAACTATGATCAAATATCACAAGGCATTTTCTGGAAAACTAAAAAGGAACATGTGTATTTTGTTTAGACAATTTGAATTTGTTTAATTCGTTAGTTATTTAAGCTTAAAATTAGCACTGTTGTGATTTATTTCAAAACTATTAAGAAACAATAACTGTGTATAATAAATAATTAATAATTAATGTATATATAATAATAAATAATCATATCCATACTTCCATATCCATATTAATATTATAAATATGAAAATGTTTTTTTTTATTTGTTTGTCTTACTTTCACGTCGAAACAGAGTGAGGGATTAGCGTGATTTTTTGTGGAGAGATAGTTGGAGGGCTGGAGAGTGACATAAGCTAATTTTTACCGCGGGAGATAAACGGCATCATTTCCACGGGAAAACACGTTATGATACAACCCAAAAATTATTTGTGATCAGAATTACTTGAAATTTGGTATTAATGCTCTTCAATACAATTAAATAAAATGTGTTTTAGCATTTATCGAAATTCATCCCATAAGGGGGTAAAATAGGTGATGTAAGGCTTATGAAACCTACTTTTTTAGTTTTTTTTTTTAAATTTTAGCGCGAGTGAAGCCGCGGGTTGTGCTACTATATTAATTATTACAATTAATCACTAGGTACTATATAATTTATGTGTATATAATTAACGTGTATATAAGACTGAATATTTATTTTCTTTATAATAAGCCCTTAAGAAACACTTAAAAGAAAAATAATGAGATGTCAATTAAGAAGAAATTTACTTAAAAATGTGGCATCTCAAGACTATTATCACTACTTTTTAGATGTATTTTTAAAGCAAAATTGGGATGATATCCAAATTTGGTTCATTATAAAGAAGATCTAGCCAAATATGGTTCTTGGATTTTTATTCATGAATTTCTCGATTACAGCACATAGTTATGAAAGTAAAGCCTCTAATCTCTCACTGGTCTTGTCGAATTATCGTTCTTTCGGATTGAAATAAAATCGATTTGTACTTGCGTAAGGTCGCTCTAATTAATAATATGTTGTGGGCGGTCTTATATCCTGTTTTCCCATAGCCCTTCCCTTGTGCAGGATCTTTCTTTTACTAGACCCATGTCATATACTGTTTGTGTTTAGCTTTAACACTAATTTATTATATTTAAAGAATTTTACGAGCTATGTCCTAAAGCGCAGTATTTGCTCAACAAATGCTAGAGTACAATTTTTGGTATTTTTTATATTATTTTAGTTAACATATTTGTTAAATAAATTCTCAGAGTGAGGATATACATATATACGAGTAGAGTTAATTAAAACGGATGAATATATTATTCTTAAACCGTACTTAGGCTCAATAAAAATGGTTAAAATAGTGGCTGGCGCACAGTATTGTGTTTTGCTTGTGGTAATATTCTATCTGGAAAATATTACATCGATAGTATGTAATTGCCTAAAATCGTATTAAAGCAAATTCACATGATAGCATCTAGACATACTATAAGAAACAGTGTACTTTACAAGGAATCTTAATCTATCTATATATATAAAACAAAGTCGGTGTGTTACAACACATAACTCTAGAACGGCTGAACCGATTTCTATGATGTTTTATTTGTTGGATTTGTTTCAGCCCCGAATAGCAGAATAACTATTAAAACATCAAAAAAAAAATTAAAAAAAATTAAGAATTATATGACTAACGCTCGCTAATTACTATTTGCATCTATTTAAAACGTACCTAGCGACGAACCCGAGCGAAGCAATGGTGAGCCGCTAGAGGTTAGAATAAAATGTGGAACTTCTACTCAGTCAGTCTTTAACTTATGTAGGCACTGACAATATTATTATCATGTAAAACGTAATATTTGCCATGTTTATCACTTACTCTTGAGAGTTCACGACGTTTCGGCAGTTACAAGTGCCATGGTTACGGGTATACTCATCGTATCCCGTTTTATATCATAATAAAATTGTACTCAATGGCTTCCAACCGAAACACAAAAACGTAATGTGAGTATAAAACATAATAATTAAGAGGTACTAGCGGCTCACCGTCACTTCGCTCGGGGTCGCTTCTAGGAAAATAAAAACAAATCTATCCCACAGGAATCGTACAGTTTTTCGGGATAATAAGTAGTTTAATGTGTTATTCTGATGTATGAGCTATATTATTGTAAGGTTTCATTAAAATCCATTCAGTAGTTTTTGCGTGAAAGCGTAACAAACATGCATACATCTATACATTCAGATATCTATACATCCTCACAAACTTTCACATTTATAATATTAATAGGAAAATATGTTACGAGCACAAAGTTATATAAAATAAATAGATTGATACATTTTTACACAAATATACTCGTACACTTGTATTTACTCCCGACCAATTTGCAATTTGCTTTTAATTTGTTTGGCTTCTGATACCTATTACATGTTATTAGATATTATTACATATTGGCTTTTTCAATTACTCTTCATATTGAAATCTTTGTATAGGGAAATAACACGTGTTAACAGAATTTTTGTTCACAAAAATTGCTTGGCCGATTTTGATAAAAAAAAGCATTTATACAAAAAAAAAATGGTGAAGAATGAAATTAAAAACTACTCAATTTCAATAAATTACCACATTTTTTCGATATATACAGTATATACGTGCCACAATTATTGTGCACAGTAATTTTTTAAATTATTGACATCAGTATATAGTTTTAAAACAAATAACATTATTTCTTTCTCAATTCTTTGTATTTAAAATTTTGTTTTTGGTCATAACAATCAACCAAAAAAGTATTGGATACACAGTTCCATTCAAAAGTACTCACCGTTACCAATTGTCAAACTGTCACCAATTGTGTTTAGGTAATTATTCCAGTTGAAATAAATATACAAATATATAAATTGAACCTTTAATGCAATGCTTAAAGTTGTTATCACAAAAAAAATAAATTAAAAGCGCGTTCAAATGTTCAAATGAGCGCTTATTCGGTGAGGACATTTTTGGTCGCTGATTGTGTATCTAGTACATTTTTGATCAATGATCATATACTTTAAAATAATAATAAAAACAAAATTATTTTTTGGCATTATTCTCAATTTTCACAGTCCCCTAGATTTTTAGATAACATTTACATAAAGATATCCTCTATATATCTATCACAATCAAACAACTATTAAATCGACTTAACCAAAAAATAATCGATAGCAAAATGTTTATTGTGATTTAGACTCTAACACTAAACAATAAAGATTATAATATCTTGAATTACTATTTCATCTAAACGAATGTGTATGGATATCGAAAGATTATACTTAATAGCTGTGATATCTTATAAATATAGTGTTGTAAAATATGACGATTTAGTTAAGATATGATGAAGACTGTGATACTAGTGCTCCTCGTGGCAGCTGTGTACGGCAAACACGAAAAATATGCTGGGTGAGTTAATTTTAAGACATTCGGTTATATTTTACTGGTCCTTGTATCTACTAGTCTATGTATCTTTCATTCCCATTATTGAAGAATTTTTTTACAATACATATCTTTTATGGTACTTATTTTGAAAGTTTCAAAAATATAATGCACAAGTTTTAAGTTTGTAACTCCATCTAATAAACACTATTTTGTATTAGCACAGATAACATAATACTATGTTAGTAGTACTAGCAAGTTATAGTCTACTATATATACTTATTTTTTAATGTTAGGAAATGCATTTACACATACCTCCTGTAGAAATACACAACAAGCCACAACAGCCATAGGGTCCACTCTGCTATCACAAAAGTACCAGGAGCAACCCGTATGACACACCACCCACCGAGGTGGGCCGCCTCCAGTTGCGTTTCTTCGCTTCGCGCCCGGCTGGATTAACGATATATTAATTTCTTTCAGAAAGAAAATAGCTTATTTATTTATTTATAATTTCAGATGGAAGTCATTTTTAGTGAATCCTGCGAACCAAGAACAAGCGGAGACTCTGAGTGGTAAAGTTATAGATCTTGAACTGGACTTCCTTAGCCCTGCTGTTGTTGGACGTGAGGCTGTCGTATTAGTGAAGCCAAAGTATCAGGCTGACTTTCTAAGCTTTCTGTTGCAAGAAAACATTAATTACCAAGTTCATGCCGAGGATGTGAAAGCGTAAGTTTTTAATAATGTGAGTTATGCTTAAACAATGATTAAAATTTAATTAGTGCTTCAAGTAAATATTAGTATTGAAATCAATTTAGAATATTTTGTATAAAGAGGTGGTTGTTTACTGCCAAATATTAGACTTTAGCTTAATAATTATAAGTATTATATTATAATTGTAAGTAAATTGTATTTTTTATATTATTGCCTAAGTTTAGTAATGCCGAAATTACTTTTTTTCTGTAATATATCTAGGACAATATTGTTCTTGTTATTATTTGTCTGTTGGAAATTTATATTTCAGTCTACATTAATAGTAAATGAAAGTAAATTAATTATAACAGATTGACTGCCTCGGTGGTCTAATAGCTAAAATGTACAGCTGCAGATCTGAAGGTCCTGGGATCGAGTCCCGGGTCGGGCCAAGTTTAGTTAATATGTCATTCTGTTAAGAAAGTCCTAATAATAGCCTAGTGTTGGGAAGTTCGCGGTGATTCAATGCCGTGCCTCGGAGAGTACGCAAAGGTATTAGGTCAGATCGGATCAGATGCAAATCTGATCCCAAATAGTGTAAGATAGTGACAGGAATAGAGAGTACGCAATCTACATATTATGTGTCTGCGAGTACACTTGTGCAGTGTAATATTTTCTGCGTAGTTTGTTAGTATCAGTAAGATTGGCCGCCTTGGCCGAAATCGTTCAGGAGGATATCATAAGGGATTGAGTCGGAAATCTTTTGAGATACCCAGTGGTTATCATGTTATTTCCATCTTAATAATGTTTGGGGCTGCAGGGGAAGAGGAGTGTCGGTGTTGCCGCTCTCCCTGTCCTCTGCAGCCGATTGGAGGTGGCCCACTTCGGTGGGCGGAGGTTCGGATTAATGGGGCTGCTCCGGGTACCTCTCTGGTGTAGCAGAGTTGACTGTGGAGCAGCCCCATCGGTGTGGTGGTCAGCCGTTCGGCAGACCTGCCGCCGGGGCGCCGTAGTAGTTATGCGCAAGCGATCCTGCGGCGTCCCATTAAGGCGGAGGGGAGGGGAATGTCGGGTTTAAAAAAAATCTTAATAATGTGGTTTCAATGTTAAATTATGGTGATATAATGGAACGAATAAATCAGATTTTCAATGAAGGTTGAAGAAAAGATACAAACTATATCTTTGGGGTTAGTGGATATTGAGCAGATAAAATGATTAGCATTTCACTTATTCATCATATTATCATAAGATTCTTTAATGCTTAGTAGATTACTGTTATTTTAAATAAAAATAAATTAATGAAGTTATCTCTTTCAAATGAATAGTCGTAATAAAAAAGTTATTAATTCAATTAATGAATTGTTATTAAAAAATTTAAATAAAACTATCTTTGTGGGTTATTTCGCGGATTTATTTTGATTTTTGGTTCCCGACGCTTCGAATGCTTTACAGCAATCATGGTCACGGGAGAGACGGTTTAGTTTAGTAGGTGTAGTTTAGTTTAGGTTTCAGACGTCTCAAAAGCGTTATATACTTGTTACGACAGTGCCTACCCACTATTTTACAAAAATGATTTAAAAAAATCAAATTTGGCACCAAAGTACTTTACTATATTTGTTGATTTTAATTGTAAACATTAAAAAAAAACAAAAATCAAAATAAATCCGCGGAATAACCCAAAAAGATAGTTTTATTTAAAATGTCATATATTCGCGTAAATCTAATAAAGTATACTGAATTATTATTATTAAATGATGATATTAAATAATTATATTATAGAATTGCCCAAATTGATAGTTAGCGCTATGTAAAATATGATTACTGGTGAGAAATGTGGACGGTGATGAGCCAAAAAAAAAATTACGTTATCAAAATATTTATTTAGCTCAAGTTTCCTTTTTATATTAATCAATTCTTATCAGATAGAAATATTTGAAAAAAATACTTGATTTTAACATTTTTAGTCAACTGGACATTGATGATCATCTTATTGAAGCCAGAAAAAGTGTAACTCGCGCAAACAATGGTGAGAGGATTACCTATGACAACTATCAACCTCTTGAAGTGGTACGTATGGATATTTTACTTATAATATTTACATGAATATTTGTGGATAAGTGAGTGTGATTATGTTTATTACGTTGTCATGCTAAAACGGTTTATTAGATTTGCGTAAAATTAAAAATGGAGCTTATATTCTGAATACATACAGAGGCTACTTTTTATCAATATGTACTTTATATCAATTCAATTATATACGTATAAACATATTAAATAACTTTCGCAACGAAGAATATAATTACTCATCATTTTTTATTTGGTACGTGGCATGCTGATTACCGCAAGCGATTTGATCGCTGTAGTGATTTGAAACTTCTAAAATGGGATAGGCTCCATCCTATCCTGATCCTGTCTTTATTTTTACAGATCTATGAATATCTTGATAAAGTTGCAGAGGAGTATTCTGATGTAGTAACATTGGTTAACCCTGGGAATTCATTTGAGGGCCGACCTCTTAAGTACCTTAAAATTTCCAAAGACAACTTCCAGAGTAACAAACCTGTGATCTTTATTGATGGTGGTATTCACGCCAGAGAATGGATCTCACCACCAGCTGTCACTTACGCTATTCACAAACTGGTTGAAAATGTAACAGACTCTGAGCTACTCGAGAGGTTTGATTGGATTCTCTTCCCAGTTGTAAACCCTGATGGATACGTGCATACTTTCACATCTGTAAGTTTACGTAGATTAAATGATTTTTATAATATTAACTGAGTCTGTAAGTTTATTTAATTTTATCAATACCCATAAGAACATACATAAATAAGAAAAATTGACAGTTACAAGTTAATGAGTCGATTAACAAGCAGTATTTTGAGTCGACTTCAAAAACGGAGGAGGTTCTCAATTCGTCGGAATCTTTTTGTTTTGTATGTTCACCGATTACTCGAAGACGCAAGTACGGATTTGGTTTTTTTTTGTTTTAAAGGGTATACTTCCCGGGTGGTCCCATATATCGAAATCGGTCGAATGGTTTTTTGAAAAATCATCAATAATTTTTTTTTAAATAAATTGTTTAATCGAATATGTTATTAAAATCTTTCTTCTTACAAATTACCTGCTTATTACATCTGCATTAAAAAAGGAAAAAAAAAATTAATAAAAAAACGACATCCAGGCACTAAAATGTAAAACATAACTAAACGGGGGTTTTCTTGTTAGTAATGTATAAATATATGTGAATGTAAAAGTATATGTATCTAAAATGTAAGTACTAACATAGAATATAAGCACTTTGTATATATGAGTCTACGTTACTTGAAATAACCTATTAGATATTCATATAAGATATAATTCATATAAAATATTGTCGGCCGGCACTCACTTCGAAAATATCTAATTAGGTATCTATTCTAAATGAAAATCCCCATTTAGTTAATTTTTACATTGTAGTGCCTGGAAGTTGGTTTTTATTTTATTTTTGTAAGTTTTTATCATATTAATAGTGCACTTTTTAATCAATTGGTCGCATTCCAGGATCGTTTCTGGAGTAAAACAAGATCGACTGATCAACATCCACTAAGTAAAATTTGTCCTGGAGTAGACGGTAACAGTAACTATGATTTTTATTGGAATGAAGTCGGTACAAGCAGTAGCCCGTGCAGCGATATTTACGCTGGGGGCAAAGCTTTCTCTGAAGTAGAAGTGAGAGCCGTCGACGAAATTATTCAAGCCAACAATAATATGATACTATACATTACCATCCACAGTTATGGCAGTCTTATCCTCTATCCTTGGGGTCATGATGGAACTCTCTCAAATAATGCCTTTGTTCTTCACACTGTTGGCACAACTATGGCTAGTGCTATCGATGAGCTTTCTCTTCCACACTTCCCTAGATATATAGTTGGTAATACAGCTTTAACTCTAAACTACAATGTTTCTGGTGGATCTGTCGATTATGCACATTATAAGGGAATTCCTTTTACATACACTTATGAATTACCTGGTCTAGATGGTGGTTTTCAAGGTTTTCATTTGAATCCTAGATATATTATACAGGTTGTTGCTGAAACCTGGGCTGGTATATCGGCTGGAGCGAAAAGAGCTGCTAGTTTCTTTGGAACATTCAACAAACATTGATTGACGAAGGTTTTTTTTTAATAAATTATATATGAAATGTTTTGACTTTTAATAGACTATCTTGACTAAACCACGTATTGTTTTAGTTTTAGAAAACAAACATGTTATCCGTTCTGAAATATACGTATGCGTACCAAAGATTTCCTATATTAACAAATTGATATTTGAAAGTTTGGAAATAGCAGAGCGTTGCATTGTAGCCACTAATTAAATATTTTTTACCACAGCGTTTTAATATAAACCTTGCTTTTAATAGTTAAATTAAGAGCCTGTACAACAAGATGATCCGGCTGTACCTGACACATCACCAAACCTTCACACAGACACAGGTGCGTTCATATGCACTCTTTCACTATTGCCACATTAAGCCAATTTTGAAAAATTCAACAATTGCTTAAAATATTGCAATACTATAATTATCTTCTTATTTTATGTGAGAGTGCTCAGAGACTTATTGGTGACCCTACGCTGGTAAAAGCTAACTTACAAAGCCTCGATCACCGACGTAGGGTTGCCAGCTTTTGTGTATTCTATAGGTTACATTTCAGAGAGTGTGCGCAGGAACTACACGGCTTAATTCCCCCATACCCTTCCCATCATCGGACAACCCAACGAACGGCTGGTCTCCATCCTTGTTATCAACAAACACCCTGCCTGCGTCAGTGTTTCCGTCCGATTACAATATGGGTGTCTTCAAGGCAAGAGTGAATAGGTGGCTACTGAATTAGTGCGACTTACCATCTACGACTGCGTTACCACTTACCATCAGGTGGAACGTAGTCCAGCACTAATTCAGAATAGTATATAAAAAGAGTAAACAAACAATTAGTCCCACGTTTTAACATCTGCAAAGTATTTCGTGACAGAATAATAAGTATCGACCAATAAAGTATTATTTAAATTTTTAATTTAATTTATTTAAATGGCAAGCTCGCTATTGACTATTATTGTTTTATTCACACGTACGTACACCTTATATCTGTGCATCCCTTCTATCTGTGCATCGTGGCTTCCCCAGCACTGGAGTAAGTTTGATCATTATGTTTAAGCGTAATTTGAAAGTTTCTTTCGATTCGCTACTAGTTACATGCTGCTGGGGCAAAATATTGAATTTAAATAGGATCAATTCAAATGCTAACTACATGACAAATAGAAGTGTTACGTTTTAGAATTTTAATGATGATATTATCGAAATTACGAATTGTGAAATTTATATAAATTGGAATATGTTTTATTAATTTGGTTTATGCCATCTAACAACAGAATGCTATATCCGTGTTTCAAAATAAAAGTTTTAAAATAAAAAACCCAACTGCATAAAAGCTAACTAAAAAGATGAAAACAAGTCCACGAAGGAATATTATGCAATCGGACACACGTTTCATCCTTGCCGCTAGATGTACAATGTTCATAATACATTATAATATAATACATATTATGTAAGTCGATTATTTTTTTCATTTTGACAATATGGCGTCTGGTTGTTACTGTGGTGAATTTTGATTACTTTCACGTCTATAATGACATTTACAAGGTTATGACGAAAAGAAAGATATAAAAATTATCAAAATCGGCCTTCGCGTTTGGTCTTTAAAACGAAATATATTCAAAATAAAAAGTAATTAGGCCGTGGGATGGATTTTAACAAGAAAAATGAAAGAGATATATTAGAATCTGAAAAGCTTTTTTTTAATTAACATTAAAAAAATTTGCTCTTTCCTGCCACTATTATGGATAAATAAAATGTAAATTAACCCTCATAAGTAGTTCTTACATGATCATAGTAACATAATTAAGTATTAAAATGTATTTTAAGCAAATCATAACTACTTTATGAAATATTTCACGTAATAAGTACAAACCATTACTACACGAGTATTGCGAATTTGTGGACTAAAATTTCTCAACTGTAATTGCTCACAATTTTATCACAATAATTAGTGTAACTCAGCTCCGGAGTAATTTTGAATGAGTGAAAATATTCTCGCTTTCAGGATTTAGAGATTATAGTGCTATTTACGGCCAGGGTTTATATTTGAATTAATACTTCTCGTAGAGCTTATACTTTTTCGTGGGTTTAGGTTTAGAATATTTGTTATCAAAGTTTGGTAATTAAATTCATTATTAAAATTATTTATTATTAAGATAAAAATAACGGAAGATGCAAGTTTGCCAATGCACATTAGCCAGAATTAAGCGAGTTACACGCGCGTTTTCTTGTAGGTATACAATATACATACAAATATGGAGTAATTTTGTGTTTTAAAATTTAGTGGAATGATAAAGACACAAAAGCATTGAAATAAAAAAAAAGATTCCGACTGATTGAGAACCTCCTCCTTTTTGGAAGTCGATTAAAAACGTTGAATTCGAACGCGCATCGAGTGTCAAACGACTTGCCGAGTGCTAGACTTGCTTTGCCGATATCCACAGATGATCCGTGTACAATAATAAAATATCTCTAAGCGAACATACGAAATTGTATGAGTAATAGTCAAACGATAAAGTTTGGGAAAAATATATTGATCAGGACTAAGGTGGAAAATCGCAATAATACAGCAGAAGCACATTGGGCACTCGTATATTTAACTGTAGATATTCAACAATCGATCTTAAATATTTGCCTGCATTCAACCCTACTCAAAATTCATAGGACGTAATACAAATCGATATCAATATATCCAAATTCTCGCTGAAAGATAAAAATGGCCGTATTACTTTTATGGGTTTTCCGTGCGACTAAAATAATATTTGGCGTTGTAAAAATAATTGTGGTGTATTTTTATCTATATTTTGTGATCCATTTCAATTTTGCTAAGGTTTCATCTTTTCATTGTATCAGAATGCAGCATCACACTGGTTCAAGAGCTCGTGAACTCTGCAAACAACGGTATTCCTGTAAGGAATTTCTTAGGGCTTACAAGCTTTTAGATTAAACCGTCATCACCACAATATAGCAAAGATTATTCTCAAATGTGACTGAAAAAGTACAGACAAGTACAATTTTACTAGATTTTTTTGTAAAAATTGCTTGTAAAATAAGCTATAATAAAAGTCATTAAATTGTAATAGTTGTACATAAGAAAAACACAAAGAAAAATATCACGCAAACAAAAACTAGAAAGCAAAGTAAAGCAATACGCAAGAAATTATGCAAAAAACTTTAAAATGCAAATATGCAGAGTTTACCAATTTCTTTTCAAATAAGCGATATAAAATTTCTTGTACTCAAACTCGTCTAAAAGTTTTATTGGAATTGGACCAATAACGATACTTTCTTAGCGAGTTCGATTATCGAGTGGGGTAAATTCTGTTCAGCTGGGAACGGACGGTGAAAAAAGTTTCCAAGTTAGTTAAATGTGAAAGCTTGAGTGTTTTATATAAAAGATATTAATTTTTCCTAAGTTTATGAAGTTACAGGCAAAATCTGTTGAGTATTGGAGGCAAATTGCCTGACGGATGTCGATGAAACTTTCGTAGTATAAATATTCATCATAATTACCACTTAAGCATATTAAATTATCACTTAAATATATGTATGTATGTATTTTGTGAGGTCTATTATTGTGTTTGAATATATCTGGACTATAAAATGAACCTTTCATTTCTATTATAATAATTATTATTAGCCAATAGGCAATAAATATGCCCCTCCATGTCGTTAGTATATACAGTTGACTTTGTATGACAAAAAAGTTACGTTTTTTTCCATAGTATCTATTAGATCAGGTTTTCGTATTATGTACAATAAAACCTTAATACTTTCTTAGATTTACGCGAAAATTTACATTTTAAAATGAAATTATTTGTTAGGAAATTGTCGCGGTATGTCCACAACTAAATCTGAAATACCATTAAAACCTCTAGAAGGTGTTGAAAAATTCATGCTGGACCCTCAGTTGAATAAATTATTATATTCAATTATCATTTTTTAAGATTTATTACAATTTTTAAATGAAGATTCAATCTCAGATCACTATTAAGTTTGCGCTCTATTTCCTCATAACTGTCTGGGATAGCTATTGTGAAAGTTCTTTCGTATTGCAAAATTGGATTTTATTTCGAATCGTCGAAGTTCGTTAACCGTGAAAATTGCTTATAAAGTATTAATTTACTTCGTTTTATCTATAATAATTAAATAGGTTTAATTACTATAATTAAATGGATATATCTATGGCTTTTAATATACGGTTTTGTTTCGTTATTATCAGGGCTCGGAAATCCTTTAAATTTTTAACCGTTCGGTTTTTGACGAATTTAGGTTCCATGAACAAAATTAACCGGTTAAAATAAGTTTTTGTGTGTTTACATTTAGCGCGTCTTTGCTAAAGGTGAATAGTTTAGTGGAAGGAAGCATGCACGTTTCTTACTTATGAATGGAATAACCTCTTCATTTCGGTATCAAAACCGGAAGCAAACTTTTTTCTATGAATAACCGTTAACTATTATTATTTAGGTTTATTAAACAGTTCGTTTTCATTAATCGGTTAAAGAATGAGCGATGAATTATCGAAATAAATGTAACATATTATAATTTCATTAAAATTATCAACCAGTATTAATTATTATAAAAAATCTAGGAACAATGTTAATTACATTATAAGTTTATTTCTTGTTCGTTAGCAGTTGTTATTTTACTGTCACAATTAGTACTTGAATACAATAGAATAAAAAAAAACCTCTAATGATTTTTAACAAAAAAATCTTCTAGTTTCAATACAAATAGCAAACTAAGTAAATAATTAGAATTAAATAAAGATTTTTATCTATTAACTACCTCAGTGGTCTAATGGTTAGCATATACAGCTATAGATACAGAGCTCCTGGGTTCGATTCCCGGGTCGGGTCATGCTATGGGAAAGTATTGGAGTTTTGAAGTTAGCTGAGTTTCACCCTCGTGCATTGGAAAAACACGTGAAGCCGTCGGTCGGTTATTTATCTATATTACTTATACTTAGTTTTTTCTTACTTTATATTCCATACTTTTAACATTTATGTATTGTTTCGTCCAATATACCTAATAAGTCGCTGATTTGTTATCGACTTTTCGTATTCTATCTGTACTATTAGTAGTAATATTTAGTAGGATTTAGTTGATGTTTAGTTGAAATTTTTGCGGGATTATCGCGATATCTAAACTTAGTAGCCGTAAAAATTTGGTTGATTATATATTTCTAAAAAGAAAAAAATATTTACGCTATGAATCCTTATGAGTCTATATACTACATATAATTAAATTCTAGAGGTGTCTGTTTATAAAATGTTATAAGAACTTTTTTGTAAAATAAGCTTTATTAGCGACTGCATAATATGCAGCTTGTAACGTGACTGATCGGTAAAAGGTGGAAGGGGTCAAAGATCTTTAACCCTCATGCATGGTCAGAATATAAATATTTTTAATGGTTCGAAAGTTATTTGGATTTATGAAATAAATAATTAAAACCAGATTTTAGACTAAACTTCGCAAGTGCAATTAAAGTATCAACTATACTTATCTTTTGCCTTAGTACAGTCTCGTCCTGTTATTACTATAATATCTCTTTTTTGGGGTTCTGTACCCAAAGGGTGCCAACAGAAGCCTATTACTAAGCCTCCGCCGTTCGTCCGTCCGTCTGTTCTGCCCACCTGAGCCTAAAGTGCAGTAATAGACATTTTGGTCGGTTTTGAGTTAATTATATATTCAAAATCCCCATTTTAGTAGCTATCAGTCAAATTAATTCTTTTTTCTGTAGCGCTAATAAAAGTATTTTATTTTAATGTTTTTTCGGAAGGTGTAACAGAAAAAATATCACAAATCTGTTAAAATATTCCATGTTTACCAGCTAAACCGCAGTACAATTAATACTGCACAAGATTTTTCTCTGCTTCCTAACTAAAATGCAGTGTTTTATCATATTTTGTGGCACTTAAAATAGTAGCTTGTTCTAGGAGATTCAAGAAAAAACTTATTAAAATGCAGTATTAATCGACTCTATACAAGTTGATTATACTGCAAAGGTTAAGAAAAAATATTTTTTATTTATATTCCTAACTAAAGTGCAGTATTAACATTCCATACTGCACATTAACTTGTGGGGGATTTTGTAATTTCTTGTGAAAAACTAAAAGACATGCAGTATTTAATAACTTTACTGCAGTTTAACTTGTAGGATGTTTTGTAGTTGCTTGTAAAAGACCATTTAGGTTACAATATTTATAAATTTTACTGCATATTAGTTAGTTTGCTCCATCCAATTCATACTACCTAACATACTTAAAGTCAAATACTATTCCCTAATACTGCGTTTTACTAGGTAAAATTATTAAAATATTAAAACACAGGACAGGCAATATCGCGGTTTGAGGCAGTCTCCTTAATCTGTGGCTTAAGGCTGACTTGACATGCCATGCTGTGTCTGTAACAAAGAGATATGGAGGGTAGAACTAAGGAGAACTATCTCTCGTATAAAAAGTGACCGCTGACAAGCATTAAATTGGTGGCGCCACAGAAAACAAGTATATGAATCTATACATCTATACAGATAAATAAAATTGTAGTGTCTGTTTGTAATGTCAAAATAAACCTTTTTACTAAATGCATATGAAATTATATACGGTACTTATAAGAAAAACTAATTTTTAAAAAATTTTGTCTGTCTGTTTGTTCCGAATAATCTCTGAAACGGCTGGACTTATTTTGACGGACTTTCAGTGGAAGGTAACTGATGTTATAGGGAGTAATATAGGCTACTTTAAAAAAAAAAAGAATTAGAGTTCGGATAATACTTTCTTAGATTTACGCGAATATTTGACATTTTAAATAAAACTATCTTTTCGGATTTTGTCGCGGATTTATTTGTATTTTTGTTTCCCGACGTTTCGAATGCTTTACAGCATCCATGGTCACGGGAGAGACTGAGGTGTTACATGTCTTTAAGATATAGTTGTTACAGACAGCCTACCCACAATTAACAAAATGAAAATTGCACCAATTACATTACAATATTTTAACTTTAAATATTTTTATAATTTTAATTATAATTGAATATGGAAAATTATTTATTTAATTTTTGCTATTATTTTTATAATTATTACAATTTTAAAAATATTAATTAGCAATCTATATTTAGTGTTGCCATTATTATATTTATAACCATAAGAAAAATATAAAATATAGTATTAATTATTTAAGCCACAATTGATCTATGTGTAATTTGAAAAAGTTAAGATTAATTAAAAATAATAATTTTAATTTAAATTTGCTATTATTTAAAAACAAATTATTAAGCAACACATTACTACATACATTTACAAATGAAAAAGTGAAAAAATATTATTAATCAGAAATGCTATCATTTTGATCTACACAGTAAGAACTTACTACATCTACCTGTCTGTTATGTTTAGATTTATTATTAGATTTTATTATATTAATAACAGGATCCCATGACGATGGTAGTACCCAGCCATCTTCCCTATTGAAATTAGGATGTTTTTTAATTTCTATGGCTTCTCGAATCATTCTAGGGCGATATCGGTTTTCTTTCGCCAGGATTTGAGGCCTATCGAAGCGAATATAATGGCTTGGGCGGTCCTGACTGTGTTTGCAGACAGCAGATGTTGTATTGCGACGGTGCTTCACATCAGCTATGTGTTCTTTGACCCGGGTTCTAATGGATCTCTTTGTTTGTCCGATGTAAGAGAGCCCACAATCACAATCAAGCTTGTAAACTCCTGCATCTTGTAGAGGGATGTGGCACTTGACAGGTGGTAGAAACTGACTAATTTTCTTTGGCGGCTTGAAGTAAGTTTTAATTGAAGCTCGCTTTAGAATGTAGCCAATCTTGTCAGTGACGCCTCTCATGTAAGGTAGGACTGCAGGGACGCGCTCAACTGTGGCTGGTTTCACTCGGTCCCTGTGACGTAGGCGCGGCACTTGCAGCTTGTTGTCTCGCAGAACTTGCTTGACATGTTGCAGTTCTCCGGCCAGGTGTTGCTCGTCACAGATCCCGCGTGCCCTCTGAAACAAAGATTTTCCCACGGTAGCTAACTGTGAAGGGGGGTGGTGAGATTCACCATTCAAGTACCTATCAGTATGGGTCTTCTTTCGATACACAGTATGACTCAAGGTGTTATCTGGGTTACGTATGACTAATACATCTAAGAAAGCTAAAGAATTATTAGACTCCAATTCCATTGTAAATTGTATTTTAGGGTTTATGGAGTTAAGATGTTCTAAGAATACAGATATTTTATCAGATGGTAATATTGTGAAAGTGTCATCTACATACCGCTTGTAGAAACGAGGGGTCACAGGTGATGTGTTTAGGGCGGTCTCCTCGAAGGCCTCCATGAAGATGTCAGCTACAACGGGAGAGACCGGCGAACCCATGGCCACTCCATCCACTTGCTTGTAGAATTCATCATTCCACAATAGATAGCCAGATGTAAGGCAGTGTTTCAAAAGTTCAGTGTATTCTTCTTGCATACTATTATCCCGTAGCTTTCTTGATACTATTTTGACACAGTCCTCTATTGGTAGGTTGGTGAATAGAGACTGTACATCAAAACTGACCATAGTTTCATTGTCCATGAGTTGTAGGTGTTTTATCTCATTGACAAAATGGTATGAGTCCCTTGTAAACGCTGATGTTTGTCCTCTGAGTGTTGAGAGTACTTTCGCTACTAGTTGGGCCAATTTATAAGTCGGTGTGTCGATTTGACTCACAATTGGACGTAGCGGAGCGTTAGATTTGTGTATCTTTGGAAGTCCATACAGTTTAGGCGGCTTTGCACAAGATGGAACAAGATTTTTGACATCAAGATTCAATGCATCGGAGTGTTTCTTAATAAGCTTTTTAGTATTATTTAACACAGTGGTGGTTGGGTCTGTTTTGACCTTTTTATATGTACTTTCATCCGACAAAAGTTGTTTAATTTTCTCATTGTAATCTGATGTATCCATCACGACGGTGGCATTTCCTTGTCTGCGCGTAGTATCATAATGTCTGACCTGCTGCGTAAGTTCTTCAACGCTAAATACTGTTGTTTGTTGAGATTAGGTTTGGGCCTTGAGCTACGACGTAACAAAGATGAAACATCTTGACGTATGGCCTCCATATCCTCAGATTTCATACTATTTTTGGCCAGAGCATCTTCAACTGCACAAATAATATTCTCATAAGGGATGCGTGTCGGCGCAACAGCAAAATTTAAGCCTTTACTTAGTACTTGAATAGTAGATTCGTCCAATGTTTGTTTTGACAGATTGACAACTGTTTGACGTACGCACGAATTTGAAACTGTGGTAGACGGGCGCGTTCCGTTATTGTTTTTGGTTTTCTTTTTGATGTTATATTTCTCGACTAATTTTTGGTATTTTAATATATGTTTGTTTTTGCATTGGTTAAATTTAGATGTTTCGCGCTTATTTAAAGTTTCAATGCAATCATTAAAATCACTTGGTGTCAATACTGTCTTTATATTAAGGGACGTTTGTTCTACGTACCGGTCGTTACTGCGTAGATCACGGCGGGTTTGACGAATCACCGTCCGTAACAACTTAAAACTTGCCTTGTTAACGATCTTGGCGCTTCCCCGTATGTTCTTTTTAGATGATATTTTCACACACGTAGGAATGAGACGATGATCTCGACATCTCTTCAAGAATGTTAAAGATGTTAATAATCTTGCGCGCTTTGTCTTCAGATCTTCTAACCGGCGTATTTGGTTTGCGATTTCCAGTCCGTACTGGTTCACATAATACTTTCTTAGATTTACGCGAATATTTGACATTTTAAATAAAACTATCTTTTCGGATTTTGTCGCGGATTTATTTGTATTTTTGTTTCCCGACGTTTCGAATGCTTTACAGCATCCATGGTCACGGGAGAGACTGAGGTGTTACATGTCTTTAAGATATAGTTGTTACAGACAGCCTACCCACAATTAACAAAATGAAAATTGCACCAATTACATTACAATATTTTAACTTTAAATATTTTATAATTTTAATTATAATTGAATATGGAAAATTATTTATTTAATTTTGCTATTATTTTTATAATTATTACAATTTTAAAAATATTAATTAGCAATCTATATTTAGTGTTGCCATTATTATATTTATAACCATAAGAAAAATATAAAATATAGTATTAATTATTTAAGCCACAATTGATCTATGTGTAATTTGAAAAAGTTAAGATTAATTAAAAAATAATAATTTTAATTTAAATTTGCTATTATTTAAAAAACAAATTATTAAGCAACACATTACTACATACATTTACAAATGAAAAAGTGAAAAAATATTATTAATCAGAAATGCTATCATTTTGATCTACACAGTAAGAACTTACTACATCTACCTGTCTGTTATGTTTAGATTTATTATTAGATTTTATTATATTAATAACAGGATCCCATGACGATGGTAGTACCCAGCCATCTTCCCTATTGAAATTAGGATGTTTTTTAATTTCTATGGCTTCTCGAATCATTCTAGGGCGATATCGGTTTTCTTTCGCCAGGATTTGAGGCCTATCGAAGCGAATATAATGGCTTGGGCGGTCCTGACTGTGTTTGCAGACAGCAGATGTTGTATTGCGACGGTGCTTCACATCAGCTATGTGTTCTTTGACCCGGGTTCTAATGGATCTCTTTGTTTGTCCGATGTAAGAGAGCCCACAATCACAATCAAGCTTGTAAACTCCTGCATCTTGTAGAGGGATGTGGCACTTGACAGGTGGTAGAAACTGACTAATTTTCTTTGGCGGCTTGAAGTAAGTTTTAATTGAAGCTCGCTTTAGAATGTAGCCAATCTTGTCAGTGACGCCTCTCATGTAAGGTAGGACTGCAGGGACGCGCTCAACTGTGGCTGGTTTCACTCGGTCCCTGTGACGTAGGCGCGGCACTTGCAGCTTGTTGTCTCGCAGAACTTGCTTGACATGTTGCAGTTCTCCGGCCAGGTGTTGCTCGTCACAGATCCCGCGTGCCCTCTGAAACAAAGATTTTCCCACGGTAGCTAACTGTGAAGGGGGGTGGTGAGATTCACCATTCAAGTACCTATCAGTATGGGTCTTCTTTCGATACACAGTATGACTCAAGGTGTTATCTGGGTTACGTATGACTAATACATCTAAGAAAGCTAAAGAATTATTAGACTCCAATTCCATTGTAAATTGTATTTTAGGGTTTATGGAGTTAAGATGTTCTAAGAATACATTTATTTAAAAAACAATTTATTTAAAAAATTAGAGTTCGGCTCAAAAAAAAAAGTATCCAGGGACGAACCCGAGTGAGGCGAGGGTGAGTCGCTAGTTTAAAACATAGCGTCATAAAATTGAGAAGGTGAATTAAACAAGGAAAGAAAGATTTCCGCTTTGCTGTGGCGCACTTATCAAAATAGTTCTAGCATAGGCAAACAGCAATATAATTATATATTATTTTCAAGTAATAATAATTCAGCACACTTCACTCCGTTAAAAACTACTAACTTCACATCACATCTACTTGCTACGCTAGTGCAGTAACGGTGAGTTTCTGAGCTATAATTTGCTGCTCACTACTGGACACTTTTTCAACTTGTTTCCCATATAAGTTAATTCTCCTTAGTTCTACCTTCCATAATCTTTTCAGACTATTATTTTTGTAAGACAAGAATACTCATTTAGTAATTAGTTATGTTCAGAAGAAAGATTTTATGTAAATTTTATTGATCCATGCATGAGAAATACATGTGATATAGTTTTATGGTGGATTAACTAGTTAAGATTATCAACATCTTGTAAAGATTGTTATATTGTTAGTCATATAAAACAATTTACACTATTAGATTATAATGTAAAATGTTTTGATGAATAGTTTTAATAGCATAGTCATAAATGCATGTCCAGTTTTGTTTAAGAAATTACATATTTTTATCAAAATTAAAGGTAATTTTATATTACTATAAGTGTGGAATATCAGTGTTTTGTTCAAAAAAACAGATTAAATAGCAGTATTTTCTTAATATTACTGCACTTTAGTTAGTAACAATCATGGAAGAAATGTCTAAAATGCAGTAATAACAGGATTTACTGCATTTAAAACAGTTTTTGAAAAGATTATACAAATAAAGTGGGTGTAGTAATAGGGGCTAAAAAATTAAAATTGCCATAATTATAGTTTTTTATAAAAAAACTAACGTAACAATGTTTAGTATTTTAGTTTGGTACATATCCTTTCACTTCCCATTCAAGGTTTTATCGAAAAGTCTCTTTTTGATATATTTTTATGGATTCTAAACTTTAGGCGCGTTTTTCTCGAAATCGTGTTTTTGCTGTTACTGCACTTTAGGTTCGGGAGGGCAGTGTTAGTGGGCTGTATCTCATGAACTGTAATAGGTAGAGACTTGAAATTTTCACAGAGTATGTATTTCTATTGCCGCTAGAACAACGAATAATAAAAATAAAAATATAAGAAACATTTTTTTAACGTTCGTAATCGATCTTCGAAGTTAATATACTACATACATACATAGAGTAAAAGTCATATTAATAAAAAGTACATGTACAATGGTACGGAACTCTTCGTGTGCGAATTCGACTCGCGCTTGACTGATTTTTTCATTGCTTCATCTCATCACAATCTGTAAAGAAAAAAATATTAATATATACATGTTTAAACGAAGTTTTTGAAATTTCAATAATCTATATAATATACTGGAAATTATAGTTTTGATGTCATCAAATGCAAATCTTTTACGTTACTTGATAATAATTTTCATTAAAACCTTCACAGTTAATTACCTGCTAGACTACGGGAGTTTCGTTCAGAATAAGATCTCTACTGGATGTGACATCAATATTATGAAGTAAAGTTTTTACTATTTTTATTTAACTTTTTATTTTTTTAGAAGTCCGTTTATCTATTCTAACATTATAAAAAAATATTATAAAAAGGTAAATTTTGTTCTTTTTTGTTCTGTTTGTTTGTATCGAATAGGCTCCGAAACTATAGAACCGATTTAGATGAAATTTGATTCGAAGATATTTTAAGACTTTGGAAAGGATATAGGGTAGTTTTTATCCGTTAAGGGAGTAAAAATGGGGGTGAAATTTTTGTATGGGGAAACAACCTAGGGACGAACCCGAGCGAAGCGAGGGTGAGTAATTAGTCAATTATAAAGGTAAATCTTTATAAATAGTCATACTCGTATATTTGCCAGTTTGTCTGTGTATCTACGTTTGTGTACATTTATTGCAGTTATATTTTTATTATACATATAATGAGTCCTTAGTGCATACTTAGGTGCGTATGTGTTACTTCAAGGTACAAATATCTCCCATTCGGGACTTGAACCCGCAATCTTTGCTATATATACCTACATATAGGTACTGGTGTCATAGGACATGTCAAATATACGTATGTTAACTTTATTTCATATAATATTCATAGTAAAGGCTCTTCCTTTAATTCTCAGGTCATGTTAGAATGAAGATGGCAAGAATTCATTAAAATTTCTCATTTGAAGTCTCCAAGTGGCGTAGACTCAGATGTGTGGCCTTTCAGTATTGGCACCGACTAAAATAAACTTGGTACTGCTGAAGAAGTAAAATTATTTTAATTCTAAATCATATATAGTATCAAATATTTTAAAGTAATCGATTATTTTTCATACTCGTATAATGGAAATGGAATTGTACGTTTGAGAAACAATTTCAAATATATTTTTTTATGAATATAAGCCGCTTTATAAAGGATATTCAATTCGAGAATATGATTTGTGTAAATTACGCGATACCTTATTGAACCGATTTTCACGATTTTTTAAGAATGGGATCAACGGTTGTCCAATAAATATATCACGGATGTATTTTTCACTAAGTAATTTTGAAGTCAACAATATTTTGACAATGTCTTAAAAAATCCCTTCACGTCTTTATTACAACAGATGTTTCTATTATTTTAGACTAGCATTGTTCAGATGACCAAAAACCAAATTCTTAGGTTTTACATATTAGTATACTCTTACAATGCAGTTTTTGAATTTTTTCTCAGAAATGAGATATTTTCCCGCGGTAAAAAGTATCCTATATGTTGACCCGGATAACCAGCTATCATCATACCAAATTTCATCAAAATCTGTTCAGTGGTTTTCTCGTGATGCGGTAACAGACAGACAGACTGGCAGACAAAAATTCTAAAAACTATGATTCGGACTCTGTACCGATAATAATGTCTATTGCAATAAGATTTTCCAAAAAATATCTAATGTACAGATCCGGCTTAGTTACAATTTTATTATATGTATAGATTATAATATCTAATAATTCCATTTTACTTAATCTTACTTAATGCAATACCAAAGGAATTAAACCATTGTCAACTACGAAGGACACGTTTGGCTCAGTTTGTACTGACCTTACGTGCTGTGCCAGCGGTCGGGGGTTCGAGTCCCGCTTTGTAGTCATGGGTGTTTATATTTATAATATGTATGTATCAACTATCTGGTATTCATAACACAAGCCTCGTAGCTTACCATGGAACTAAATGGTGCTGTGTGTTAATGTCCCAACATATTTGTTTATTTAATTATTTACGTACTCTATATATGAGTGTTTTAAATAGCAAGTAAATATTATGACCAATTTTTGTTCCAATTTTGTTACTCTGAAAAGAGGTAAAAGTAGTAGGTTGGCTTTGGCTTTAACAACAGACGCGTTATAATATAATTAACGCTAAGCTAATAGTCATAATTAATTATATACCAGATTAGTTGAACCTTAAAGTATTAGCAAAGTTACTCCACATTTACTTTTTACGTAACGTGTCATAAAAATGTTGGTATATATTCAAAATGATTGGCCAGTTCTTTAAGAATCTTTTGTGGGTGTTTTATTTTATATCGAATCTTGAATCTTAATAAAAAAACAGCACGCATACCTGTTTAAGACGTTTTTACTACGAAATACGGGGTATCATAAACCAACATAATAACTCCCTCTCGTTATCAGCGCTTCCCAAGAATTGGGAATATCATCAAAGGTATCGATATATTGAGAAAAATATCAGAGTCGGCCATCTCGGGAGATTGGAAAAGCGTTTTTTGTCGACGCGTGATATTTTCAATACGTTTTACGGTGAAATATGAGATTTTATCAATTTGGCGCTAAGAAGAAAATGGTCCTTCGAGCCGGATTAATATGTATTTGTAACGGCTGTTTATTTTTGGGGTTTCGTTGTTTGTAATTGTTAATTTTAATTAGTTTTAATTGTATAAGATAAATTGTATAATTGATGGTATGAAATGAATATTTTTAGATTACTTCTGGTGCTTAGTTTTCTGAAGCGACATAAAACATTTTTTTATCAAAATTATAATTGTGTTTGCTTTAAGTTTTTAATTATATAAGCATTGCACAAAATGCAGTCGAGTGCAGAATCGACTTCAATAGATTGAACCATACATTCTCATAAGCATTGTGATTCAAGACAAAACGCCGCTTCACCGTAAATTAACGATTCGCATCCCACTCATTGCTTCTAAGTTATGGGGTATGTAGGCTTTGCAGAAACTTATGGACAGACGTACAATTTTTATAGCTTATTTAAAAAGATTTAGTACATATTTAGTGTAACATATATGTTTGTTTTAGTCTTTTAATATATGTTAGAGCTTTTTAAGGGCTTGCTAACCGTATTTGCTATCGCGACCACGGAAGCGAGTGACTATATACATTATATTATGTGTGAGTGTAATTTTTACTGAGCAATATGCGACTACTGCATGACCACTATTTAAACAGCAACTGTGGTTTCAGCCGAGAACCGTAAAGGCTATTAGTTGGCTTATCATTAAATTATATTATTAAATTAATTATATTATATATTACTTTTATAAAAAAATATTATATCGAGATATTCAAATAACAAATAATGTGTCTTTTGATTGAACTATTATTTAGTACATAATTTCCAAGTTTTGAATTTAAATTTAAATGTAGGTAATTGAGGTATGTTACACAATTTGCTTTTTAAAATACATATGATTCTTTGATTTGCTAGTGATAGTGGCTTTGATGCCATGTGCGCTAAGCGATTATATTAAAACAAATGACATATTTCGTCGAATTTAGACAATATGCGACGTCCAACTCAACGACGAAAACCCAAATAAAAGTAAAAAAATAAC